GTGGGGGCCCACAGCACTGTGTCGGGGGCCCTTCGTTTCAAAGTTCGGTGGGTGGGTTATGCTGCTGCTGAAGACACTTGGGAGCCGCTGCAGCACTTGGCGGGGCTGGAGCTGCTGCTGCAGCAGGCGCAGCAGCAGCTGGGAGTTGACTGCTTCTTGCCCTGGGGGCCCGAGGCGGAGCCGCAGCAGCAGCATCAGCAGCAGCAGCAGCAGCAAGCAGCAGCCGACGCCGTCCGGGACGCTGCGCCTGCTGCTGCGGCCGCGGCTGTGGGGGGAGCGCGCAGCAGCAGCAACAGCAGCAACAGCAGCAACAGCAGCAGCAGCAGCAGCAGCAGGGGAGGGGCGGATCCCTCTAGTGGAAGCAAGGACTCTGGACCGGAAAGCTCCACTGCTACTGCAGCAAGAAGCAGCAACAGCAGCAGCAGCGGCGTAGGCGCGGTATTTGCAACGTCGGGAGCAGCGCACGCAGCAGCCAGCAGCAGCAGCAGCAGCAGCAGGGGAGCTCCTGCCCCCGTGCTGCAGAGCATTAGTAGGTACCGCAGCAGATTTGGGCGCGGGGAATACAGAGTGACCTTTCGGGGAGTTTCTTCTGGGGGCCAGCAGTGGGTGCCGGAGCAGCAGCTGCTGCTGCTGCCAGCCAGCAGCATGTCTGCTGCAGTGCAGCAGCAAGCTGCTGCTGCCAAGTCGCAGTGGCTCGAAAGGCTCAGGGAGAGTGCTGGGGTGGACAGCGAGTGGTGGGGTTGTGTCTAGTAACACCATTAAACGACGCCTGTGGCAGCAGAAGCAGCAGCAGCTGCTGCTGCTGCTGTTGTTGCTGCTGCTGCTGCAGACCCGGCAGCAGCTTCAACTCAGTATTGCTCTAATGGAGTTTCTGTGGGTCTACTTGTCTCTCCTCTTCGCAGACTATGGGGCCCCCCGAAGGGGCCCCCTGATAAGCAGTTGCTGCGTCTGCTGCTGTACATAGTGTAGGCGTTGCTGCTGCTGCTTCTGCTGCTGCTGCTGCTGTACATAGTGTAGGCGCTGCTGCTGCTGCTGCAGTCGTCGCCGTACCCGTTGAAAGCGGACAGATGTGAGCCTTTAGCTCAGCAGGCCAGACTATGTGCTGCTGCTGCTGCTGTTGCTGCTGCTGCAATGCGAAGTGCAGCTAGTGCAGCAGCAGGACGGGCCACTACTACTACAAGTGGCCTGCACGTTGAGCCGAAGACTTTAGGGTTTAGGGTTTAGGGTTTAGGGTTTAATCAGCCACAAAAGCCTTAGTGGTGTTTTTGTACAGACACTCAAACAGCAGGACTCTCAGGTGTACGGACAGCAGCCGCGCGGGGCGCTGGTGACAGGTTCTGCTGCAGTTGCTGCTGCTGCTGCAGCTCCTGCTGCTGCATGCTTTGTTTCTTCGGCAACTGCGGCAGACGAGCTGCTGCTGCAGCAGCAACTACCGCACCGGCAGCAGCAATGGGCGTTACAAATGCCGCAGCGACTGCACTAGGAGCAGCAGCGCTGCTGCTGCAGTTCTAGCTGTTGCCGCCTGCTGCCACGGGTTCTGCTGCTGCAGTTGCTGCTGCTGGGGCCGTTGCTGCTGCTTTGCTGTAGGCTGCTGGGGGGCCCCCTTTCTTGTGGGGGCCTTTTGCTGCTGCTATTTTCTGCAGCAATTCTTCTTGCTTCTCGGCGGGTAGCTCGAGGAAAGACTTTTCTTCTAGCACAGCTGTACATACACCCGGACAGCAGCAGCAGCAGCAGCAGCAGCAGCATGCAGCAGCAGCGAGTGAAACAGTTGCGCACACAATGAAGCCCACGGCTCCCTGCTGGTGCTGCTGCTGCTGCAGTTCGGGTGTACAGACAGCTCACGCTCTTCTGCTTTGTCAAGAAGATCCGCTGAAGAAAAGAAAGGAGGACCATCTTGGGGGCCTCTGTACAGCCCACACCCAATTATCCTGCAGCAGCAGCAGCAGCAACAGCAGCAGCAGCAACGCCTCTGAGACCAGAGGTAGCAAACACTTCCGTTCGAGAAGCCAGCTAGCTGCAAAACCAGTAGCAGCAGCAGCAGCAACAGTAACAGCAGCAACGCCTACCTAACGGGTTCCAACGGGACTCCGTTCTTCGTTCCTACATCTTCAATCTGCAGCAGCAGCAGCAGCAGCGGCAGCAGCAGCAGCGGTATAGAAACTGGACCGCCATCATCACCATCACTGTAGCAAGGGTTTGCCCCAGCAGCAGCACCAGCAGCGGTTATGCTGCCACCAACACCAGCAGCAGCATAGCCAGCAGCAGCAGCAGCAATCAAAGCCAGAGCAGCAACCACAGACACAACAGCACCAGCAGCCACAGCCACAGCCACAGGAGCAGCAGCAGCAGCAGCAGGAACCACAGGCACAGCCACAGGCACAGCAGCAGCAGCAGCAGGAACCACAGGCACAGCCACAGCCACAGCCACAGCAGCAGCAGCAGCAGCAGCAGCAGCAGCAGACCCTGCGGATGACGCGCATGCCCTTGAGAACAGTGCCTATGACGACGTGCTGCTTGTTGAGAATTGGCAGCGGACAAAAAGTAATTAAAAAAGTGCTGCTGTTGCTGTGGGGCCCGCGGGAAACCATTGCAAGATCGCCGTCTTGAATGAATTCCATATTGAAGTTTTCGTCGCGAAACCTGCAAAAATGTCCATTTTTTCTCAAATTGATCCTAAATTGATTCATTTTGATTGACTAAAAACAATTTGTTCTATTAAAAACCATATATTTCCCATTTACTCCAAATATTAAATCGAATTTCCCGCTCCCAATGATTCTCTTTCGCTGCATAATTTTTCGTCGTGAAACAGGCAAAAACGTCCATTTTTTCCTCAAATTAATCATAAATTCATTCATTTTAATTAATTAAAAATATTGTGTTCATTTTAAACTCATTTATAAGCAGTTTAATCCAATTATTTCCGCTTCCAGTGCCCCTCTTTTGCTGAAGTTTTCGTCGCGAAACCTGCAAAAATGTGCATTTTTTTCTCAAGTTAATCATAGAATAGTTCATTTTAATCAATTAAAAATAACACATTTATTTCAAATTCATTCATAATTAATTTAATCCAAAACTTGACTCGAATTTCCGCTCCCAATGCTTCTCTTTTGCTGCAGCTTTCGTCGCGAAACCTCCAAAGAAGTCCATGTTTTCCTCAAGTTCATCATAAATTAATTCATTTTAATTAATTTAAATTAATTTAATTAATTGAAAATCATTTTTAATTAAGTTAATCGAAAAATCAATTCGAATTTCCCGATTCCAGAGCTCCTCTTTTGTTGCTTCCTTTCTGTTCAACTTTTCCGCTTTTCCGATTCTCAAGTTTTTCCAAAATTCAATTTCGAATTTATTCTTTTAATTCTTTTTATTTCTTTTTTATTTTTATCTAATTTGAAATCAATTATTTTAATTCTTTTTTATTTTTGTTTCCTTTTGATTAAGTTTCAAATTAATTCTTTCAATTCTTTTTTTTCTGTTAATCAAGTTCCAAATTAATTCTTTTTGTTTTTTTTCCTATTTTGATTGAATTCTAAATTAAATCTCTTTAATTCGTTTTTTATTCTTCCGATTATTTCTGCAACTCTTCGAGCTTCAAAGAGCTATTGCAAACTTCTTTGCTTCGCCGTTTTATTTATTTTAATTTCATGTATTTCTTTTTACATTTTTTCTTCTTGAATTTTTTTATTCCAATTAATTTATTTCAATTAATTTAAATCCACTTTATTGTTCTACTTTGTTTAAATCCTGCTGCTGCTGCGTAGGAGAACCGCCTTCCCAATGGAAGGCTCCGCCACCAACTCGCAGCAGCAGCAAACATCCCGCCCCCGCTGTTGCTGCTGCTGCTGCTGCTGCTGCTGTTGCTGTCGCTGCTGCTGCTGCTGCTGTGGCAGCAGAGAAGCCCCCTTAGAGGCCCTGCACAGGCAGGCCAGCAGGGCCTAGGGAGGAGGGGTTGAAATGAGGGTTTAGGGTTTAGGGTTTGGCCGCTTCCATGGCGTGGGAGCGCCAGATCATCTTTGAAACACGGATTCCTCAGGATTTAGGGTTTAGGGTTTAGGGCTTGGCTTTTTGGCAAAAAGATTGCAAACTCAGCCCTCAATCAGCAGCAGAGGCCGAGGGTTTAGCAGCAGGGTTTTTAAGGACCTGCATGAAGGGTCCCTTGTGCTCTGTGGCATTTAGCTAGGGTTTAGGGTTTAGGGTTTAGGGTTTAGGGTTTAGGATTTGGCGCCCACAGCATTTGGGCGAAAGAGAAAACGGGTCAAGAGGGCCCTGTCTCACTGAGGCCCCTCTTGGGGGGCCCCTAAGGGGGCCCCCCAGTACCCTTCGGAGGCCCCACTGTAGGGGGCCCCCCAGAAGTGAACCCTTTTTTGCTGCTGCATTCCTGGCAGCTGAGGGCTTAATAAGTTTTATAATTTCAACAATTTAAATTAAAATTAAAATTAAAATGATTTATGTAAATGTCCTGGAGAACGAGCGAGCTTGAGGTGCGGTGGCTCCCACTGTGTACATACACCTCAGCTTTGCAGGTCTGCGATCTGAACAAGTGGACTCATTTGCCTCCAAATTATTATTTTTTCTTCCTTTTAGTTTTATTTTTTAATTAAATATGAAATTAGAAAAAAACAGTGTGTAATTTTATTCTGGCGCCAGTAGAACTGAGGTGTACGTACACTCCAACAGCTGCAGATACAGCCCAGCGGAGCTGTACATACACCCAAATGTTCAATAAAACATACTCACTGAAACGAAACCGGAAAGTCTAGGTCTATCCGTTAATCCTTACCTAAACCCTAAACCCTAAACCCTAAACTAAACCCTAAACCCTGCTAAAGCCTAAACCCTGTGGCAGACCCTAAACCCTAGCAAACCGAAAAGCTACCCACTTCAACAGAGAAAAATGCGGCAGGGAAGCCACAAGCAAACCATTTTAGGTACCAGCGTGCAGGGACGCGAGCAGCAGCAGCAGCAGCAACAGCAGCAGCTGGCGCTTATGCAGCAGCAGCACCAGCAGCAGCTGACGCTAATGCAGCGGCAGCAGCAGCAGCTGCTGCTGCTGCTGCCGCCCTGACTTGAGAAGCTCTAGCCGCCGCTGTTGCTACCGGCTTGTGCAACTTCTATTCAAGTGTATGTACACCCGCCACTATGCACAGGTCCTTTTCTGCTTCCTTCAAAATGCCCTATTTTGGTTTTTAAGCGAATCAGCAGCAGGTCCCGTTTTAACTAAGCAGAAGCAGCAGCAGAAGCAGCAGCAGCAGCAGCAGCAGCAGGAACGGTACCACAGCAGCAGCAGCATTAAGGGGGCTTATATCCACACAGAATCTGTTGCTGTCTAAATGTGCTCCTTTTCTAAAGAGCGATTCGGCCTCCTCCCTCTCTAGCAGCAAATGCAGCCCAGCTTGTAGCTAGCTGCTAGTTAGCTGCCGTTGGGCAGCTAGCTGCTGCAGCTAGCTAGCTGCTGCAGCTAGCTAGCTGCTGCAGCTAGGTGCGGCCAGGGAGACGCGTGCATGCATGCGGCATTAGAATGCGACTTGGGGCTTGCGGCGGTCTCTGGCGTTGGCGGGGGTGTCTTGCTGCAGCTGCTGCAGCTGCTGCGGCTGCTGCAGCGGCTGCAGCGGCTGCAGCTGCTGCAGCTGTGGGGCCGGAGCCACCACCGCGTGCTGCGCTGCTAACATCAGCGCGTCGCTTCTTTCGATTTGTTTGACAAAGTAGTCCACGTAGACTCTTTGGGTTTGTTGATTCTGCAGCAGCAAATCACAAAAGCATTTCTTTTCTTTTTTTTTCTTTTCAATTTCAACTTCATGAAAAGCAGCATTTGGCGGCAGCAGCAGCATCACAACTGCAGCAGCAAGCGGCAGCAGACCCTGCACAGCACTTCGCGCATGCAAAGCCACTTAAATGAAAGAAAAACGAAAATGCACTTTAAATTATATTTAATGCACTTGGCAGCAGCGAGCCTTCCATGCATACAAACGCATGCATGCACGCGCAGCTGTACATATACCCGGGCACGAAGAGGCGCGCTCTTTTTTCGTGAAAAGAAGGCCATTATGTCTAAAGAAAGCGAATAAATTTGCAAATGCAAAAACAATAAAACGTGGAAATAAAAATGCACAAATGGGGCTTTTGCAATCCCCGAAAGTGGGCGCATGCGAAATGCACGAGTTGGGGTGTACGTACACCTGGGGTACGGGCAAACCGCAGGTGCACGAGTTTGAGGCCACTTTGTGTTTTAAAAAGTGGAATAAAAAGGTCTTTTGAATTTAAATGCAATTTGAATAAAAAGAGAAGCCTCTGGCGGCTAAAAGCGCGGCAAACTCACCTTGACGTGGAGCATTTCGCCGTCGATCTTGAAGTCCATGAGCGCCTCCACGTGCGGCTGCGTCAACTCCCCAGATAACAAAGGCCCCGAACGCCACACTTTCTGCTGGCTCTTCAACTTCAAACACATCAGCCCCGAACGCACTTCCCCCTCGGGGTCTTCCGAGCTCTCGTCCATCAGCCGGCCCAGCTTCTGCGAAGCAACCCCAGCCCAGCTCGCTAGCTAGCTAGCGAGACAGCTAGCTGGGTAGCTAGCTGGCTAGCTGGCTACCTAGCTGACTTGCGAGCTGGCTATATGGCTAGCTGGCAGGCTGGCTAGCTAGCTAGCTGGCAGCTAGCTAGCTAGGCTGGCAGCAAGCTAGCTGGACTGGAAGCTAGCTAGCTAGCTAGCTAGCTAGCTAGCTAGCTAGCTGGGGCAGCGGCTATGCAGCTAGCTGGCTGCGTCAGGGGCTGAGTAGCTGGCTAGCCGGGCCTCTCGGTGACTAGCTCTTCAAGACCTGTGTTGAGTCCTTCTAGCTAGCCAGTGAAATAGCCAGCTAGCTAGCCAGCTAGCTGGCTAGCTAGCTAGCTGGCTAGCTAGCCAGATGGCTAGCCGAAACTCACCGCCAGGGGTATGTTGTGATAGAGCTTGGTGAAGGAGTTGATCGTATTAACCTTGCGGCGGCTCTCCACGTCCTGCGTTAAGTGCAAATCAACTAAACCCTAAACCTTAAACCCTAAAGCCTAAACCCCTGTCGATGGGCGACAAAGGCAAGCACAGTTCTTTAGAAGGGCTGGGCGCTTCGCGCACAGCCCTTTTCCTATCTAACTAGCTAGCTAGCCAGCTAGCCAGCTAGCTAGCCAGCTACCTAGCCGAATAGCTAGCCAGCTAGCTACCTAGCTCCTTATCCATCGAACTAGCGAACTAGCTAGCTAGCCAGCTAGCTGGCTAGCTAGCCAGCCAGCTAGCTAGCCGGCTAGCTAGCTAGCCAGCTAGCTAGCTGGCTAGCTAGCTGACCTTGAGGAAGAGTTTGCAGACGCGGACGCGAATCTCGGACTTGCCGGAGACGAATCTGT